CAATGCGCTGCATGTTCTTGATCTGCGAGACCAAACCCTCTTTGCCCGCCATGCTGAACTTCTGCGACCGCTAGGCACTTGTGCGTCTTCAGCGTCAGCCGCCGCACAATGCGTCGGACAAGAACTCGATTTAGCTACAGCTACACATGTGACCTATCTCGTTGCGTAGGATTACAAGGCCTGATCATGCAACTTGATGAGTTCTTTGCTGCAGCCGAGACATCATCAGAAAGCCACATGTGCACGTTGGATTGCAACAACTCCTGTCACATGGGACAGACATCATGTCCACAAGCCGTCATAGGCATCAAAAAAGTGCTGACCTGGCTAGCAAACTTCTCAAGTGCGCAATCTAGTCAGTCCGACTTGAGTCTATCTGCTAGGATTCCCGGCACTTCCGGCAAGCACCCACTTTCTCATTTCGGGCATGCTGCATGTGGAATCCTCCTTGCACGCATGTCACTCATATGGCTCTGAGGCAGCATTTGCCAAGTTTGTCGTCTGCTGGGCACGCAACAGAATGTCGGCAGCTGGATTACATTGCGCCCTGGCTGGTCAAGAAAGCCTGCAGCGAGTCTGTGTCGTGGCGCATTGGGTCTCGCAGGCCTCCTGCCTGAGCATCGCAGTAGGCCCACCAAGCCTCTTTTGCTGCGGGGTTGGACCTTTGCATGTTCTTGACCTTCTCTGCCAGGGGTAGCTTGATCTCGTCGGGTTCGGACTTGAACTTCTTCATAGGTGCTGCTTCACCACCCACTTGCGGTCGCTTGTTGGTGGTGTTGGCCGTGATTTCCTCGAGATTGATGCCCTGGGAAGATGCAATGGACGACAATCCGTTTGTTGCCAGCTCCCCCAGGTAGTCAAGGTAGCCGCGGATGAACTTATCATCATGCTTGGTTGGGTCGTTCTTGCCCGCCCCATACAGCGCACAGTAGATAGTCCAAGCGGTCCTATAGTGATAGGATGCCCTCTGACCCTGCTTGATCATGTCGCCCAAGCCTCCGCCCATCATCATTGCCCAACCCATGTCATAGCCGCCGCCACCACCACCGCCGCCTTTGCCCTTTCCCTTGCCCCACCAGCCCTCCTCGGCACGGAAGGGGGACGGGGCAATGGCGCCGCTGTTGTACTGCTCCAAAAACGTGCCCAAGACGCTCTCATCGTGACGATTGGGATCACGAACACCGCCAAGCTGTGATTCGCAGAAGTCCCACCAAGTCTGCTTGAATGTGGGGTCAATGCGCTGCATGTTCTTGATCTGTTGGACCAAGCCCTCTTTGCCCGCCATTGCTCTGTTCGGTCAGTTACCGGCGGCGCGTGTCTTGGAGGCACAGGACTAGCAAGTACGAGCCTAAACTGACCCCAGAGAATCTAGAAATGTGCTGCAAATGCCATGTTAATGTTCAGGGCTCTTCTGCTGCCAGAGCCAAAACTGCAGAGATCTGCCACTGCAAGGTCGTGATGCTGCAGGACCCTTCTTGCCTGCAAGAGCAGAGAATGCTGCGGTGGTCAGTGCCCCTGCCTTATGCAAGCTAGCAGTGAGCCACTCTTTTCCGTTGCAAGCGCTTACCCAGTGTCATTTTGCACCTACTCCTAAGCTTATCTTGTTTTGACACCACGTGTCATAGTAGCCTTGTCCGCCGCGGACTGTCAAGATCGATTTGGAAATCTGGCCGCATGGTATCAAATCACGAACAAGTAGTTTGCCTAGGTATCATAGCCAACCTGGAAACCAGTGGCCAGTCGCAACATGTCACAACATCTACTCAGCTGAGAGCTCCCTGACTGGTGAGAAAGGTTTCTAAAGAAGGAGTGTCATGGCGCATGGGGTCCCGCATGCCACCGCACTGTCCATCGCAGTATGCCCACCAGGCCTCCTTGGACTGAGGGTTGGACCTCTGCAAGTTCTTGACTTTCTCTACCAGCTCCATCTTCTTGCCGTCATTTTCCTCAAAGCGGAATCGTTTCGGCCCCTGTTGCATCTGCATGGGTGCACTTCCTGGTCTCTTGGTCGTCTGGGCAGTAATCTCATCTAGGTTGATACCTTGTGACACGGCAATCCCCGAAAGTCCATTGGCCGCTAGCTCGCCGACATAGTCAATGAAACTTCTTGTGAAGGTGTCGTCATGCTTGAAAGGGTCGTAGACACCCGCACCATACAAAGCACAGTACGTTTGCCAGGCATTCTTCCAATGTGGGGAGGCGCGCTGCCCCGTCTTCACAAAGTCTGCCAAACCCATAGCACCGCCCCCGCCCATCGGCATACCCCACATGTCCGGCGGAGGCATCATGTTGTAGGACATGTCGCCCTTCATGCCGCCTTTGCCCTTGCCTTTGTTCCACCACTCCTCTTCGGGGCGGGGCGCTGATGGGGCAATTGTGCCAGCATTGTAACCCTCCAGGAACTGCACAAGGATGCTCTCGTCATGTCTGTTTGGGTCACGAACACCGCCCAGCTGAGCTTCACAAAAGTCCCACCAAGTCTGCTTGAAGGTGGGGTCGCCCCGCTGCAAGTTCTTGATCTGCTGCACGTACTCTGCCTTGCTGGCCATTTGGAGATGGAGACGGCACCGAAACCAACTGCTACTCCGAGCTATGGTACACGTATCAAATGCTGCAGCCAGAACTCCTGCTGTGGCAGAATGTACGGACGAGCAGCATGTGACAGAAGCAGCTGTCTACATTTTCTGCAATTATGGCCAAGAATACTGCTTTCAAATGCTTGACAACATGGCGCTGGGGAGGCGCCTCTTCGCGTAGGCCAGGAGCTGCTCGCGCAGCCAAGGTCCCACATCGGCAAGCTTTTTGTTGCCCCCTGCATCACCTGAGCCACGCGCACCGTCAGACAAAGCGCAGACATGAAATCATCAAAGCTGACAAGCACGGTCTGCTGGACTGTGATCTGAGGTGTCGTGCGTTCACCAGAACTCTTGAGCAGCGTGTCCCCACAGCCCTCTGCCACCACTATGACGGCCTGTGCAGCACTTGTTCTATTTGGAATAAGGATCATGGCAAATGGCAAGTCACTAGCGGAAGAACTAGCGGGACTAGCGGCTAGCTGTGACTCATTCGAAAAGCTTGCCCCAAGCACAGGGGTCCTGAGAGACACAACTGCTCAGGATCGAGCATGACCCTTGGTTTTCATCAGGTGCATCGCGTGGTGCAACACGCGCGGCAGCGAGATGTCCATTTCAGGCAGAAGGCAGATGTCAACACTTCCTGCAGCAAGCTTCTTGTCAAGGCACGAGCTAAGGCTGCACCCCTGCGCTAGGGCAAACAGCTGCAATGCAAGATGCTGGTTTCTAAGCACTTTGCGTGCGGCCAATGTAGCGTGCAAGGCAATGAACCCACAGTGTCGACCTTTCTTGATTTCGTGTTCAGTTTGTAGGCAGCAACTTACACTTGCTCGCAAAGATTTGCCGAGCCCAAGGCCCATCAGCTTCACCAGACCTATGCAATGTGAATTGCAGGTGGCCTCTACCTTGGCAGAAGCTCAGGCACAAAAGCTTCAGATGCTTACCTCTGCAGGGGCCTACGATATGCCACGCTAATGTTGGGCTTCAGGCATACGCGGAGTCGATGGCCTGAAGCTGCCGATGTTAGAATCAGGGCTGACAGTCTACCAAAGGTCGCCCTACCTTCTCAGCCTCGCTGCAAGCAGTGTTGAAGCCAAAGGACCTGTAGGGAACTGCGCTCGATGCTTGGTCTTGTGTATTTGTTCATCTGCCTGTCAAGGACAGGGATGTCATTGTCAATTGTCTTCGGCACGCCAACCTAAGCTCAAGGCTGAACTCTCACTCTGGTCATCCCAGCACTTCTCTTGGACATCTGCTCCATGAGCCAAGATGCCACAGCAACCTCATGGCCAATCTCCTGCGTGCTGGTGAAGGTTTCGAAGGCGCCCGCTTGCGTGCCATCCCCTCCGATCACAAAGTATTGCTTCACATTCCTTGGTCAAGAAAATCTCTCACCAGAGGCTGAGGCCCTCGCACACGCTTTGTTGCAAATAAGCCGCTTCTGTTGCAGCATCTGGGCAATTTCCATGTGAGGAGGGTTGCCTCAAGCCAAGGAATGGGAATCCAATCCGAACTCACTCTCTGGATCTCTCTGGTTGATCACCGGAAGTCTCTTGAGTTGTAGAGGTATTAGGCCTACAATGAACCTCTGCAATAGCAGCGGCACTCCCTCTTCTCTTTGTCACCAAGGCACCACGGTCGCTGACGAGAATAGTCCCTCCCTCCTGGACATCGCAAGCCAACATCAAGTCTAAAGAATTTGAAGGTGTTGGAAGATACTGCGAAGAGCACAATGCCTGCCAAAACCAAATGCTCCAACTCACATTCTGAGAGCCCTGGGTCCTTGTGAATATCTTGCACGACATCGGGCGTGAGAGTCATCCAGTTGTCGGGCTGCACCATGCCTCTGGTGTTCTCGGCTTAACATAACATCAGGTCAAGATTGCAGAGCTACCTTTGTAGCCGCCCCTGCAGCCGTAAATGCTCTTCACGCCGTATCTTGTCAAAGTCATGACCTCCGAAGCGTCTACACACACGCGCAATCTTGTGATAGGCTATCCAGTTCGCAATGTAAAGACGGATCAACTGCTCCAAAAGCATCCCAGGCTCCCGCAATCTCGCGAATAACCTTAGCAGATTAGTGCATCCATGCGGGCAACTCAGTCACACTCCTGAGCGGCTGGCAGAATTCAAGCCAGGACACAAGCCTGATAAGTTGTAGGCAGAGATCGTAGGCAGGCTTGGAGCTTAGCAGTGAAATCCCACCTCCACATGTGACGATGACTGCGGAGCTTGCGCTTGGCGCCTGAACATCAGGCATGCTTTTTGCACGCTGCTTTCATATGCAAGAGAGGCTTCCCTGAGCCATGCGGTTGCGGCAGGAGGATGCATTAGAGCGGGGATCAAAACCCTTA